CCCCCCCCCTTTTCCCATAGGGAAAGCGAGCCGGTGGTTTGGGGTCGCGCAGTCTAAATCCGCCAAGACGAACGTGAATATTCTTCACCAAGAGGAGTTGATAGCGCAGAAAAAGAGAGAAATTGAGGCCAGATTGGAGCAGCAAGCGAGACAGAATTACCTGAGCATACAACAGCTACCTCTGTTTGGAGAGTACGTGTGAATTACGGTGCTTTTAGATGGGAGCTTTGCTGTCAGAAAACGGGCATGTTTGTCAAGTGAAACTGAAGAGACAAGCTTTACTAAGCTCTTGCACTTGGAGGCAAACACTGAGAAAGTTGAAATTGATAATTGAGTAATTAAAGGTTGGAATAGGATACTTGCACTTTAATTGACCTAGTCAGATTTTTCAGATACTAGTGTGAATAGATATGTGCTAACAGCAATCATATATTTGTAAGAGTATTATTGCACTTTCCTTCTGCCTCCTATTTGTTACCTTTCTTATAATCGCGACTCGTAAGAGTTAGCACAGTTCTCCACTTAAATGCTTGCCCCGGGTTCTTGGAAGCAGGGTAGCATAACAGAGCAAGTAGAAATCCTGTTTCAGCGGAGTAGTAAACAAGCCAGGTGGAGAGCTTCAGTAAATGCTGTAAGCAGCAAGCTGCATGGTTCTTGTGCTTTTGAAAAGCTGGATGTGTTTTCAATGTTAGATGAGAGAGATTAGTAGTTATTAGCATTTGTCTTGTTGTCTGCTCAAAATAAATGCATGTGAAGGAGATTAGTAGTTATTAGCATTTGTCTTGTTTTCTGCTCAAAATAAATGCATGTGAAGAGGGCTGGGGAGAATGATGAGTACCATCACCTACTTTTCTTTTTCTATTCAGAGATGATGGTACTGACAACGAAGCCTGTGTTTCCAACAAGTTTGTTAATGATGGCAGTTTCCTCCAGCAGTTTCTCAAGCTGCAGAAGGAAAAGTCAAGTACTGGTAGGTCGACTTCTGAGCCACAGGAGGCCTTCCTTCTCCTGGTGATACCAGCTTTGTGTGAGCTGCCTCCATGTATGTTCACTTTAGAAACCCTGCTATGAGCTGTTACCGGTACGAGTAAGTTCTGAAGCAATAATGACCCCTTTAAATTTGGATTAAAATCTTTCTTCGAGAGCTGCAGAAGGAAAAGTCAAGTACTGGTAGGTCGACTTCTGAGCCACAGGAGGCCTTCCTTCTCCTGGTGATACCAGCTTTGTGTGAGCTGCCTCCATGTATGTTCACTTTAGAAACCCTGCTATGAGCTGTTACCGGTACGAGTAAGTTCTGAAGCAATAATGACCCCTTTAAATTTGGATTAAAATCTTTCTTCGAGATGCAATAGTTTGCCCTCTTTTTTATAGGTGCTGTAAAACAAGCATCCATCTCTCTTCTAGCTTGAATCTCCCTTTGTAAAAATTATCACAGCTTTAATTTCATTATGCAGCTTTTACCAGTCAGTGTCTTTAACTTACTCTGAAAATAATGGCCTATTGCAGCTGTACTACTGCCTGAGTTGTTATTTGTAACCTGAGATTAAAACAGTAAGGATGCGCAGGAATTATTTTCCCCTCATTCTTTTCTAAGAACCTCCCCCAAGTTCTACTAATAACTCGGCAAACACTTCTGCATCAAATGTTGGGAAGAAACCTATGCTGTTTGGGAAGCGCCCCGGTCAGGTCCTGAGCAGCATGCTGCACCAAGCGAAGAACTACTCCCATTCCAAACAGACCCCAGTCGTTAACCGCCTCAGTGTGTTTCAGTCACCAGATGAAGATGAGGAGGAAGATTATGAGCAGTGGTTGGAAATTAAAGGTAAATGACATCTTGTACTACATTGCTTGTTTTGGGGTGCAGGTCCACTTACCCTAGTGATAGGAGAATCTTCTCCCCAGTAGAGGGTTGGTTCTTTTTTCTTATGCTGTGAATTGATATTCTTAGCACAGTTCCTGTGTGCAGACTTCTGCATCATGAAATATAAATGACACCAGTTAATGCTGGTGGACCCCTCCAAAGCCAGCTTCAGCAGAAATGCTGTTAGATACTACTTATCCAGCCTGAACTCGGTATGGGAGATGGGTCACTCGCCATAGTTAGACCGGGTCTGTTTTGTGCCTAGAAGATTTATTTTCTCTGAGTTACCAAGGCAAGCGCTTGACCAGTCTATAAGTCTCTCTGAAAAATAATGTGTAGAGAAGAAATATGTTCTACTCTTAATGGAGCTTGATTGTTTGCTAATTGTAATAATTCTGCTTTTGTACCATTGAAATCTGTTATGGCTAGCGCCGAGTTAGCTAGAACATACATAGATAAAATGCTTGTATTTAAAATGGAATTTTTTAAATGATAGAAAATGAAAAGTCCTCAGTTTAGGTGTGGCTACGTAGGGGGAAAAATTGTATGTGTTAATAAATAAGATTACATGTAAAGCGTGGAACTATGACCAGGTAAAATCAAAGTTCCTGCCTCTTTTCAAATATTCATTAGAAAATCTCACCTCTAGGTCCTGACTGCTTTAAGTAGGATAGAAAACCAATGAATGAAGAATATTGCAGCACTTAAATAACCAAGTTTCTCTGGATAACCTAGGCTAGGAGGCCAGAAGGCAGATTTGCTTAGTAATCTGAATTTCATGCATGCGTATTAATCAAGTATAAAATTAGATTGGAGTTGCTAAATAAGTCACACTCAGCTTTGTGTCATAATTTATTTCATTATATATTTACAAAAACATGTCTAGCTATTTCTGGTGGGATTTATAAAAGCATCAGCTTAGCAAGTCTGAACTTAAGCGTGAAATGCACTGCAGGAGTGTGAGAAATGGCCACTGGCTGCAGAGAGCAAAGACGGAGTATGGACCCTTAATTTAAAGATTGTGGATTCGAATCTAGATCAGTGTGGACAGCTCTGCTCCTCTGTGCTCTTTGTTCGGCACCCTACCCAAAATATTGTTGTCTAGACAAATGCCTGTGTTTAGTTCCCATTGAATGTGTCCTGCATCAGCTCTGTAATCACTGTCAGTGTTAGTGGGTTCCTTTCTTGGCAGAGAAGCCAAAATACAGTTTCTTGGAGACTGAGCTCTCCTCTTATCTCTGGTGGGATTCCCTCCAAGTGAGGGTTGAGACATGGGCATATGCCAGTAGGAAGAACTATGTGCTCTGGCTGCACAATCTGTCTCTGCTATCTTTGTACAGAGCGATGTCTTGGGAACTGGAATCTGTAATCTTTAGCAAGTAATGTGGTTGTTAAAACCAAATTCCTGTTCCTCCCTATTGTGTTTTTTATGGAGTAGAATTGTCAGAAGCAAATTATATTGCAATTGAAGTTGCACCCTAAACTCTGGTGATCCAAATCCTAGGCTTTTCCTTGTAGGAAAAATCTAGACAAAATACTAACTTCCTACTAGGGAAGTGCAGATGTTGACAGTAACCTAGGGATTGTAATTTGTTCAGCTGTATAAGACTGGATCCCCCATTTCATCCTTTTTCTTCCCATTCCCGTTCTACTTTTGTCTGCCGCCGTGGTTCTTAGAAGTAATGTACCTGTTGCCTGTTTGGTGTGTGAGTTGAACCCCAGTACTGACAGCCTGCTTAAAGTTTTACCCCCAGAGGATGCGGAGACCCGACAAGTGGTGGAAAAGCTGGCTAGGTTCGTGGCTGAAGGGGGACCAGAATTAGAGAAGGTCGCTATGGAAGACTACAAGGATAACCCAGCTTTTTCGTAAGTGTGGTGATAACTCTTGTCTTCCAAAGCAGAACGCTGTCTCTTTGTAGGAGAAAAACATCAGCCTTGTGTATATAATTCTTGTGGATGTGTTTGGCGTAATTATTGTTTGGTGGATTTGAGCTTTGTTGCGAGTAATTGTTTTATAGCTGGGGAAACTGAAGCAGAAAGTGATACTGTGATGGTGCTGAGGAGGCAGATCAGCTAGAATTAGGGATACAGCCTGGGAAGTCTGGCTGCTTGTACAACATATAGCATATGGGGATACTGGACTCGATCTCGGGACTGGTTCTCTCTCCTCCGCCATTGATACGCTGTGTGGCTGTGGACGGAGGATTCCCTCCTATATCAGAGGACGCTGTTATTTATTTCCCTTCAAGTGACACAAAAAATTTCGATGCAAGTCCTTAGATTAAAGCTATGTGTATTTATACGTGCTGAAGACTTTGTAATCCACATTTTAAGTGCATTCTGAGTAATTTATTATTTTGTGTTTTTTTGTTTTGAGCTATTTATATCCCAAAGTATCAATGTTTGTGTATAGTTGTTGCTGATGCATATTTTTTGTCCTTTTTTCCTCCATCTCCATCTTAGGTTTTTGCATGATAAGAACAGCAGAGAATTCCTTTACTACAGAAAGAAAGTGGCAGAGATAAGAAAAGAGAATCAAAGTTCTCAGGCATCCTCTTCTCGGAAAGGTAATTAAGACTGGGATCTGGAAAATATGAATTGCATAAATTAAATTTGACTTCTTTGCTCTCTCTAACTGCCTGTTAGGTCTGTTCTGGAAACAGTTGGAGTGGATATTTGGCTGTCAATCTGCTGCCTATAAATAAAATTTCAAAATGGAAGGAGATGGTGATGAAACATCACTATGATGGCATCAAACTCATGTGCCAAAATGGTTGTTTCCCAAGCCCACAGCATGCTCTATGTAAAGGGCTCTTGAAAGATTCGAGTTTCCTTCTATTTCTCCAAAATCCTTAACAAAGTGGACTAAAACGATTCTTCATCGTGTGTGTTCTGGAAATTGTTTCAGCCCTGAAAATGCGTTTAGGAAAAGTGCTTTTTCTCAGATGTTCTCATTTGGTTTGTTATCAATAAAAGTGGTTGCTTTGTTGAACATGATCCCCATTTCTGCTGCCATTTCCCTAACTGAAGCTTTTATTTTCTGCTTGGGACATAAATTCTTGCAAGTAAGGGACTGTGTTTTTCAGGTGGGAAAGCAGCAGAAGTGGGTGGTCTGCCAACAGGTGGTGTGAGCAGTGGATTATTTTCTGCTTGGGACATAAATTCTTGCAAGTAAGGGACTGTGTTTTTCAGGTGGGAAAGCAGCAGAAGTGGGTGATCTGCCAACAGACAGGTGGTGTTAGCAGTGGAATCTGGTTAACTGTGTTAAAAGACAGAAATTATTTAGTGGGTGAAGTATGGTCTGTGGGCGAGGCATTTATCGCTTCTGGTCCAGCCTCTGTTTCAGGCCTGCGTATAGCCCTGGCAAATCACTCAGCCTCTCTGTGTCAGCTTCCTTTGCTGTGGAAAGGAGTCTTAATGCAATTTAGCTGTCATGCTGATGAATTAACAGCTCAAACAAGTCATGTTTTAATAGACTGTAGGCTGAAAGAGCTTGTTACCAATATCAACTAACTGATTCAGCAGTTTGGAAGCTAAGCAGTATTATCCATACTTTACAGGTGTGGAATGTTGAAGCAAGGAAAGGTTATGACTTGTCCATGGCTTATAATCATGTCTTCTGCCTCCTGGTCCTGTGCCAGCACACTGGAGTACTGGCACTGGTACTGTGCAGGTAGCAAATGTCATATAAGGCTGTCGTGGCTAAATAATGTATTTGCCTGGCTCCTTATAAACATCAAATATGCTTGAAATACTAATGACCAGAGCCTTCTCTGTGCCTTTGGACTAAGGCTGCAGTAGCCACCTCTTCCAGGTGAGGATTGGGACTGTTCCATGGAGAATTTCCTCTGTCCTACAACCCTCCCCTAAAATGGCCAGCAGATGTGTAGTGACAGTAGGTACAAGTGGGATTACGGTGCAGTATTAGTTTGCCACTTTTTCTAAGGCCTTCCCATTGCTCCTGGGGACGTCAGTGGCAAAATCTTTAACTAGAGATAATTGCGAGTGCTGAGGTGTAACCCTATGGAAAAGTGCCTGACATGAGGAGGAAACAGACTTCCTCTGCAGTAGAGAGAAACAAGTGTCCATCTTTGAAGACAAAAGCTGGTTTTTCTGTTAATCTGCTCTCATCTAGCTCCTGGCACAGAGGAAGCTGATGTGTGAATGGGCACTCCTCTGGTTACAAAGTTGTTGTACAACCTTATGCCATATCATGTTTTTGTGATATAAACTCTATGACTGTTTATGTGTAATATTTCTAAAAATTAAACTCGACCTTTTGCCCTTATTCTGCTCTTGGGGTTCTTAGAACAGATAGGCTTTGACTGTTGCTTGTGTGAGTTGGGCCCAGTACTGACAGCCTGCTTAAAGTTTCACCCCCAGACGACGAAGAGACAAAGAACTCTGCTGAGAAACTGGCCAGGTTCATAGCAGACGGGGGTCCCGAGGTGGAAGCTATTGCCTTGCAGAACAACCGAGAGAACCATGCTTTCAGGTAAGGGAAGAAACCTGCTGCTGAGTGTAATGGCGGGGGGGGGACTTGGATGGGTCTTTTTTTTCTTTTTTAAGGGGAAACAATAGACAAGCTTGTGAGAAGTCTGAAGTTACAATGACAGTGCACTTGTATAGCACGGATGCTTTTACATTCTCAAGCTTCACAGTTTAAAGCAAGGCACAGAGAGAGAGAAATCGATTTGCTTTCCCCAAAATTAATTTACGATTTCCACCCTCCTCACCTGCTTTCTGTTGCAATGTACTAGTATAATTCTAACCTTTATACTTTTCCCTATAGCTGTGTTTTGGTGTGGGCCCCCATCCACCACTCATACCGCTGCTGTCCAATTAATTTCCTGGGTTGCTCTTTACGCAGCATCTTCACTAACGTACAGGTAGCATTCCTTCACCATTAGGTCCTCCTTTGGAATATCTTTTTCAGCCTTTCAGATGTGAATTGTTCTCTTTAGTGCTCACTGACAGCTTTTTAATGCCTCCCTTTGGTCTCATCCATGTTTCATTTTTCTGCTCTTACAAACAATTTGGTGTGTTCTTTGGAAGTGAAGAGGGGCTCATCAAGCCTTATTTTGTTGCTGATATTTTGGCATTTTATTGGCTGCCTTCTGGCCCTCTGGGGTACTCCCCTTGTGTTGTGAATTACATTAGACAGATGTGCTAATACCTGAGTTGTTTCAGTATTTACTTTAAACCACTGCTGTGATCACACCTGAGCACGGTCAAGTTAAACACCATCTTCTTTGTTAGGATTTCATCAGGTTTGCCGTAGGGAGGGCCCCATCCTGCCCTCTGCTTGATCCTGAAGCAATCCTTAGTATTGTTATTCAAATGGAGGGATGCAAGACCACATTTAGTGAATTTTAAAATACGTCAGAGAGCTGTTTGTGTTTGCCTGTGCATGTTGTGCAGTGGTAGATGGGAAAGGCCTGTCATCTCTTATGTTTTCTTGTGGGAGCAGGCACTACCCCAAGGAGAGGTTATATCAGGTGTTAAACTGGTCCTCTAAAAAGAGAAGATTGTAGAGGAGTTAGGAATAGACAAGTTTTCTGTGTGAAGTATTTAAATTGGAGGGAGCCCCAAAAGGTAATGTGTCTGTAACAAACATTACTATGTTGATTTTTTGTGCGTAGCTGCTAGATGGAGGATTGTTCATGTTCTTCCCACAGAGACTAAGGAGTTTTATTTTACCCAAAAGGTCAGAGATGCCTATTTCTGGAAGGGGTAGCAAATAAAGCAATGTTTTTTGAGTATGAGGGAACAGAAGGAGGACTCATGGTGTAATTAAGCAGACTGATAATGCCAACGCTTCTGGCTTGAATAGAGACTTGGGAGCAGTTTCTTTAGGCAGTGGTTTGGCATTCCCATTGGTAAGACCTGAATGTTTGTTTTCTTCTGTGGACTGAAACCCGATATGTTGCGGAGCCCTTGCAGTTTTTCCAAACATGTTCTGGAAGGCAGGTGAATTCTGGGAGAGGACCTTGCATTTCCACAAATGTAACATGATCCTTTTTAGTACTGTGTGTTTATCTGGCACCAAAAATAGCTGTAGTTTACTCATGAATGGGAAATACGCTTCCTGATCCCAAAGGCTTGCAGCCTACCTTGCAAGAGCACGCGGAGCCCTGCATTGCATGCACATACACACAGGATGGTGCTGGAGAGCAAGGAAGTGTGTGGGAAGGCTAGGTGTGCAAAAGCATTGCAGGAAAGAAAAGCCCTGACCAAACTGTGCTATATCCAGCCCCTCCATATGACTCTTACATCTAAACTTTCTTTTTTTTTTTCTTTATAGGTTTTTATATGAGCCAAACAGCAAAGGCTACAAGTATTACCGGCAGAAACTGGAGGAGTTCCGTAAGGCCAAAACCAGCACTGTGTGTGCCCCCTCGCCTGTAGAGTCCAGTCTGAAAAGGAAGACCAGTCCCGAGGCATCACCGTCACCTTTGTGCTTACCGTCTTTGCCTTTGCCCTTGCCCTCACCTTTGCCTTTGCCCCTGCCCTTGCCCATTCCCTCACCTTTGCCCTTGCCCGTTCCCTCGCCTTTGCCCTTGCCCTTGCCTATTCCCTCACCTTTGCCCTTGCCCGTTCCCTCGCCTTTGCCCTTGCCCGTGCCCTCACCCTTGCCTTCACCTTCACCATCATCCTCTACAACTCCACCTGATCAGACAGCTACAACTACTGCTGCAACCACAACTACAGCTACTGCTACAGGCACTACTAAAAAGAAGCGGAAGAGCAGGTGGGGGCCGGAGGAGGACAAGGTTGAATTGCCCCTCCCACAGCTTGTCCAACAGTTGGATTCTCCCTCCCCTCTTTCAGGTTAGTGGGTCTGTATATTCTATTAATAACTGTTTTTCCTGGGGAGTGCATTCAGCCTTAGCACAGCTGGCTTTGTAAACAGAAAACCCAGCGAGTCTTATCTTTTCTTGTAATCTCCTTGGTTGCCAGCCCCCTATCTTTCAGCTATGTCTAGCAGCTAACTCTCCCCTGTGTGGAAACCCAGATAAACCACTTTATCTCGCTGACACCAGGGATTGGATCTTATCGTTCTCCAGCTATCTCTAAAACCCTGCTGTGCTATAGCTCATTACAGCCTCAGCCTCTACAGTATTTAGGGCTATTTCACTTCAGGAAGAGAGTCTGTCAGAAAACAAATATCAAAGGCTGAACTGTGCTTATTCCCCATGGTAGGATAAAATCCCTGAGCAGCACTTCCATCTCACTCTAACTGATCAGAAGGCTAAATGGGAATAGCTGTTCCGCAAGTGCTGGTGGACGCAAGTATAACTTCCAGTTCCAATTTATACCCATTTCAGTTCATTTGATTACAGACGGGGTTCACAGTCCTCATCCAGCTTTGAGGCTCATGCTCTTGGTACTTCACCTGCCAGGTTCACCCAGGAGGTGCAGCTCTCTTTGACTGTTGGAAGATAATTCTTCCAGTCGAGGCACTTCTAGTGAGCTCTCAGAGGTGGAACTCTGGTGGCCCATCTGTGCATGTGCAGATAGGTAATTAGGCAGGCAGTTAGAGATGCATACAAAAATTGAGTCACTCAAGGACAACAGGTGAATGCAGACATTCAAGATGGCATCTTTGAATCCTTTGCCCAGTTAGTGTGGTTTGGGGAAAGGATGTGAAAAGGAGAAAGAAAAGACACAAGGTAAGGCAGTCGGTGTTGGCAAACTGAGAGAATTCATAGTATGAGGCTAAAGTCACAGGAAAAGTAATAAGTACCTGTCTCAATAAGGACCTTTTTCAAAAAGCAATAGCAGAACAGATGAAGTGGGACAAGTAATACAAGCTATAATTTTCTGAGTTGCAGGATGAGGCCACAGATAATTCTCAGCACATGGTCATCCTGTACAATTCATTGCTCCAGAAAGTCAGCGGGTCTTCTGCTTTGGCTGGGTTTTAGAGGAGATAATTGGTCAGCCATTAATAGCTTTGATTGTTAGGCTTGAGTAAGATGTAGGGTTGGCTGTATATGCTGTGGTGTCGTTGATTCTGCAGAGGTCAGGAAGGAAGGACTCTTATCTCGTAATCTAGCACTTCAAATGTAGGTGAAGAGAAGTTCCTATGTAATTTTGTCTTCTGATCACAGCCCTATACAGAAGTCTTGGCTATACATCTCATATGTACAGGACAAGATACCAACCTGGATGGCTTATTCATTTGACCTTGAATTGCTGCTCATAGTAAGGCAGAAATCAGATGCAAATGTCTTTCCTGATTTTGTACCTCTAGAGTAATTTTTTTTTCTTGCAGACAGTAATGAAGCTTCGATGATGAAGCTGGGCAGGCGCTATCAAAACAAGCATCAGATTCCGTCTTTAATACCTCCTGCTGCAGTGGGGGGGCTGCAAGGGTATCCATGTGATCATTCCAGCATGCTTCCTGCTGAAACCTCCCCTGGCTCTTTTAGCCTCCCCTTAATTAGACAGGGACATGCTCGTTGTGTTCATACTTACTTTCTGCAGGGCTTTGTGTCAAATGGAAGAAAAGGACAGCAAACAATTTGCCAGGCATAACAAATCAACCGTTAATGCACTGTTAATGCTCTGTAGGGGGAAGGATTATTTTTTTTTTTATCAGTTCAGATGGACTAATCCCTTTTTAGAATTAACATCTTCAACTTGACAGGTGAAGAGAATTCCAAATTACATCCCTGGTTCTGTGGAAGGTTAGAGTCGCACAGTATGCCTTGGTACCTAAACATCCACGTCTTAGTCTTTTATCCTTAGCAATTGTTTTGGATTTAGTGGAGGACTGTTCTGATTCTTTTCCTGTCTACTCTTAGTAATAAATCAGTATCATGGAGACGAGAAAGTGTAGCCCTTTTGGACAGAAACAAGGCTCCTCTTAAATGTATTGATATCGAAACACTTAACTGCGTATATACTGCAGGGACTAACACATCTGAAAAGCTGAACAGAACAGAGATAGTGATTAGTGAACTCTGTGGACTAATGGGAAATTACAGGCTGTCATTAGAATTTTCTGAAACCTAATATTGGATTGGTTTGGGTCTGATTAGTTTTAATTGAGTAAGATCTTCAGACTATGAAGCAAAAAATCAGGCACTTCTGTATTGGGATTTCTCCTGCTGTCCTTAAAGGACATTCACTTCTCTTGTAACAAGCTCCTCTTCAGGCTTGTGGGAAAGGGATAAACCTTCAGGTAGTTTTCTGCCAATGCTGCAGATAGACTGCACCATAAACCCTATAGGCAAAGCTGATGTCATTCAAGGAAAAAAAATTTTTTTTTTGCTGAACATGAGACTGAGAAGCAACTCCTTATCTTTTGCTTAGTGTTTGCCTTGTGCTAGACCAGTGTAAGGAACTTCGAAATCTTGTCTCTTTTTATGCAAATACCTTGACTGATCTTATTTATGAATAGACTTTTCTATCTTCAGATGTGGACTTGGGGTGGAGCTTCGCTTTTTCTGTCAACTTTGCTTGTATTGTGATACTTTGAGCCAAGACTACAAAATTATCCTCCGGAGCTAAATTTCTGCAGTGACTCTTTCAGCATCTCTCAGCATAAAGTCTGCAAGGTACCAGAGCAGCCAGACAAACCAGATGTAGTTTTAGCACAAGAAGGAGCAGTGGCATATGCTTTCTGGGAAGTAAAAGAAGATGCTACAGCCTCACCTTTCTCCTTTAAGGTGGTTATATATGCTGGCAAGCCACCAGCTCGCGGGGCCTCTAGAGCCATGCCTGGCTCTTAGCCTGAGTGTTTATGCAATTCAGAACTAAGCCAAAGAGCTGCTGACCTCTGTGAAGGGCAGAGAGTCTTCCTCGGTGCATTCAGAGAAAGCTTTCCCATGCCCTGAAACAGGAGGTGAATCTTTGACTAGGGCTGATGCTGAAGTGCCCCGGTCTCACATAACATTTGGGGCCAGATTCTTCTTTACGTAGAATAGGCATAGTGTGCTCATTAAAACTGTTTCCGAATCTCAGTGCTCTCCGAGACAGAAATGGGGCTGTTTATCAGTAATAGATAGGTTTATTTTTCTATTTGTCCTTATTTCTTGGAAGCTGAAAGTACGTATCCTAGCACCAAGCCTAGTGTAACACGGCTTCTTGCTTTCCTTCCTCTTGGAAAACCTCTTGCAGTGTTTTACATAACTCTTCCTGCAGAGTTGACTCCTGGCGCTGGTGCGAATGTGCAGAGGCTGTAGCTGTGCAAGGGAGGGTGGATGAGCTGTTTAATGTTCTCCTTGGGAGGCTGGAGTTAAGGAAGCCACTTTCCAATTGTGGCGTGCTCAGCCAAAAGCATGTGGGAAAGGAGGGGAGATAAGAGTGCGCAGATCAATTGCCCTGAGCGCGAATAAGAGGAAGGGAGAAGACGACCCCTGGGGCCTAATTAGCATGCTGTGTAGTCATTTGGTGTCATGAACAATGATCCTATTATTATCGGGCTTCATAATTAATAGATAATGAATAATTAATGAAGCATCATTTAACTGTAGTCTGGACTTACATTCAAATGGAGGTTTTTGCAGTCATTAGGAAGAAATCTTTTTCCTTGTATTGAAAAATGCAACGCGCTTTCAAGTGTGGTTCTGTGTCTTCTTTTAATCCCTTAAATATTTAACTGTTGGGATCTTAGCTCTGAGGTGCTTGAGAGGGGAGCTGCCAGCCCTGCTAGATATATATGAACCAAGTTTGCAACGCCAATCTCCATTGTAAATCTCTTTTTAGCAGCCGCAGCAATGTATCTGTTACTTTCTTTCATGGTGCAGCAATTACAAATAGGCTTCCTTTTTTCCCCCCGCTCTCTCTTTCCTTTAACTTGCCCTTTGAACTCAGAGTGCCATATGATCATTTTAAGTCAGTAGGTGCCCTGCCCAGATAATGTTAATATCTAATTTCAGGGCTTATCTGATACAACAGCAAAAATCATTCCAAAGGAGGAGCTTCCAAAAAGGGATGCTGCAGAGAAAGGAGGATACATCAATGGGATTGTCAAGCAGAGCCTTAAAATGCCCTGTCTTTGAAAGCAGGGGCAACATCCCTGGCAATGCTCTTCTTGAGCTTGTAAACTAGAAACTAAAATCTCCTTGGGGAACGGCAACTTCCAAAAGCAGCATAATGCTCATGTCTTTATTCCAATGTGGTCATTTGCTTTTCATTTTGAATGAAGTTGCTGTTTACATACTAATCAGCGGACACTTATGTGCACAGATTGGACAATATGCTGACAGGCTCAGATCTTGTGACTCAATTCTGAATAATTAAGTATCACTCTTTGCAATGGCTGGGGTTCATGAGGAAGCCTTATGAGGGGAATTAATCTTAAGGAGGAATGATTTTTAAAGCATGGTGTAGCAGATCGCCATGAAGTGTGACCTCCAAGGACGTGAGACATATTTTGTGAATCTGCTAACGTGGTATGGGCAGAGCCTTGGACCAGGGTGAGGGAATACTCTGAGCTGGCTGGTAGCTTTCCTGCCTCTGTGGTTCCTAAGTCCTACCAGGCAGTTGTTCTTCAGTTCAGTGTCTCAATGCTGGAACCATGAAATGAGTGTAAAACTTCATGTGGGGATCTTGAAATATGGTTTCTCTGGTCTCAACAGCCGTCTCAGGTTTTTGAAAGTCTTTTAACATGTGCTTATTACAGTTCAGGACCTCAAGGGTCTTGGTTATGAAAAAGGGAAACCGGTTGGTTTGGTGGGTGTGACGGAGCTCTCTGAAGCCCAGAAGAAGCAGCTGAAGGAGCAGCAGGAGGTAATGGCCTGAAATCATTTCCAAATTCATACTGCGTTGCAGCATGGCTGGGTTAAACGGGAAAATGGAGGTGGAGACAGCAAAGAAACTTTCCCGGTGGCCCACAAATAAATCTCTAGGATTTGTGCTGAGTGCCTAAGAATCATGTGATGCTGCAATCAGCAGAAATATTAGAGGACTTTGGGGAATATGAATTAAGCCAGCCAATTGCTGTCCTACCACACTGAAACCCAAAATCTATAAGGTCTGTTGTGTCACATCTGCAGCTGGTTATGTATTGCTTCAACAGTGGGGAGAAGGTGAGTGGATACTTGCAAGCTTTGGGGGAATGACAGCGAAACTGGCTTTTGCCAGAATGTGAGGGTGATGTTTAAACTGTGTGGGGATGATCAGATGACAGCAGTCCTCGGTGTTAATATCAAGGTACTTCTGTTGGAGGAACCAGCACGTAATGCTCCTGTTTGATCTGAGAAGCGAGTGGATCAGATCAAGCAACAGTATTGCCTGTTGGGATTTGTAGTTGTCATAACCTGTATTCTGTACGGCAGCTGGGGTGGGTGCGGGCTCTGCCGCAGAACTCTGCGTGCCTCTGTGGCAGACTCTGCCGCCTGTGAACTGGTTGCCTTATTGAGTGCGCTGTTGCGTCTCTTCCCCTAGATGCAGCAGATGTATGATATGATCATGAAGCACAAGCGAGCCATGCAGGAGATGCAGATGATGTGGGAAAAGGCAATTCAGCAGCACCAGCATGGCTATGACAGCGATGAAGAGGTGGACAGCGAGCTGGGAACGTGGGAGCACCAGCTTCGACGCATGGAGATGGACAAGACGCGAGGTGCGTAGGGAGCTGCCATACAAACGCCTTGCTCTGCGGTTGTACAAAGGTCTCCAGAGGGAGATGTCTGAGATCACGTTGGCCTGGGAGTTGCAGGGTCACTTTTCACTGGTCTGTGCTGTGGCTTCCCTGCCCGTTGAGCAGAGATAATAACCGTCTGTTGCTCTGAGGCTTTATGCTTCACAAACCCTCTGAAATTCCAAGTCAAAGAACGCTGCGTTATTGCTGTTTTCTCTCCTCTGTGTCTTGGGCAGAGTGGGCTGAGCAGCTGACCCAGATGGGCAGAGGGAAACATTTCATCGGAGACTTTCTTCCACCTGACGAGCTGGAGAAATTCATGGAGACGTTCAAGGCATTGAAGGTGAAATAGCAGAGACTTCACAGGGCGGTGGCAATGCTTCAGACTTGTCTCGTAGCAGTGAGGGAAAGGTCTCAAGCTTGCTTAGCCCTTTTTCACAGCAGTTAGCTACCTTGCAGCCTTGAGGTGCTTCTGCTCTTAACACTGGGAGCTCTGTAACTTCTGGCGGAAATGGGGTTAGTTTTTTGCTCTTTGCAGAGAAATGGCTGTAGCAAATTAGAGGACAGACTATTGGGACAGTATCTGGGGGTTAGCTGAAATTATAGACAAGCCTGTCAGACTACCCACCATTTGTCTGCTGTTCCTGTTTTGGATAAGTGGTTGCTGATGCCAAGCAAGGAAAATTTGAATTTTTATCTAGACAATTGCAGTAAAGTGAAAATAAAAAACCTACAAAAAGCTTATGCAAAGCACTTCAATACCTGCCAATTCTTCCTAAACTGTAGAACTTCTTGATGCTGGCGCATCCCTCTTAATGTTTTTGAGTAACCAGCATGGGGTCTGACGTTCCCTGGAGATCCTGGCTTAAATAAGAGCTGCGTTTGAAGCTTGATCCAGTGAGCAACTTTAAATTCAGGAGCTAAATATTTCTCAGCTTAATCTTACAGTAGCATTCCCTGCTTCTTGCAGATTATGTTATAGGGCTGTGCAGTGCTTTATCATTTACCTATTTTCTTCTCTGTGGTGATGCAGAACTGGAATCCCAAGAAATCGTGCTAGTTATTAATTGTTTGCCAGAACCATCCTAACTTTGAGTAGCTGAAGCTGGTTTTCCCCTCCTCTGACCCACAGATAGGTGCATATCAAAAATAACCAACACTACCTTTTGTGTCTCTGCAGGAAGGACGCGAGCCAGATTATTCTGAATACAAAGAGTTCAAACTGACTGTGGAAAACATAGGTTATCAAATGCTAATGAAGATGGGCTGGAAGGAAGGCGAGGGACTTGGCTCGGATGGACAGGGGATTAAAAACCCAGTCAGCAAGTAAGCAGAGTTCTTCTACTATTGATTTAGTCCTTTCCTCTTGGGCTGATAATTGATGCTCCTACCCTAGCCTACTGGAAGCAGCTGCAATGAATATGACTGTAATTCATCACTTGTACAGAATATGGAATCCTCACAACAAAGGAGAAAAATCGTTTCTGATTTCTTTGGGGTTGCCTCCCCCAGGCCTGGGTTTGTTACTTTATCTCAGGCAGGAGGTATGATCTGAGCCAAGAGTTTCTCATCTCAACTTGCATAGTGCTTTCTTCTGAGAGGCGCCTTCTCCCCAGTTTCCCCATCTATAAAATGAAGATAATACTTGTCTGCACCTCACCTCTCCCAGGGCATGTGAGGATTAAGTCATGTCTTTAAAGTCATAAATTTATTTAAGTATTAAAGAACATGGCCTTTTGCATCTGAAGCGCCGTTGGTGCCTGCTAGCTAGTCCCTGGTGTACTGTGGGTGAAAGGTGATTACCAATTTTTGCTACTGCTAGACCTGTGTTTGAAAGATGTTTCAGTCCACATCAGAGAGCTTTGTGTGTGATCATGCAACTGTCTTGACATCACTCTTTTGCATTTCTGATTTGATCACACTTTGTATAATAAAGCTTTTTGAGAATTCTATCCAAAAATAGACGAGCATCTCTTTTTAGGTGGATCATCTGTTGGTAACATATGCTGAACTTCAGAACCAAATATTGGGGATAGGAAATATTCGGAATTGTTTTTTAGCATTAGATCCCTTTAGAAATAGCAGTTATTTGTTTACTGCACAATAGAAAGTATCTCTACAAAGCACATTCTGCTCCTCTTTCACAAGAAGATCTCTCTGGCAACATGCTTATTGGTTCAAAGAAGTCCTGTGATAAAAGATCGCTGTAATCAAAACAGCAAGGCTTGCAAACAACAGAAGGAAGGCAGTTTCTTTCCATCACAGGGTTGAACAAGGGTTATGATTTGCTTGGGCTCTACCATCTCTGATGTTCTTAGAATGGATAAGAAGGTGCTACTGCAGATGGAAAGGAATTGCTTCTGCTTTTGGACTGTTCTGGAGTGAAGGAATGGGAGGCAGGCCCGTTGTTCAGCAGTTCTTTGTACCTCCAGTCAGTGAGGTACAGATCAATGTATTTGGTTGCCAAAGGTTAGTCTGCCAGTCAGAGCCCCGTTCAGTAGGGAGGCATCCAAAGCATAGACGGTATTTCTGTTCCAGTTGTAAAAGGTTAAGCAAATATATGTTGACACTACTGCTTCCATCTAACAATAGCAAGCGTCATTGATTTGGAAGGGCAATGTAGAAACGTGGCAAATGCAATAAGCTGCTCAGTATTAGCTGTCTGTGTTGATGCAGCGCACTCTGTGTGATGATGCCCAGTGCTCCCTGATGCTTGTTCTCGGAGCTCTGACGACAAGAGGCAGCAGGTATTTCTGGTGAAGAGGAAGGTGATTTGTCACATCTGCTTACCTCGGAGGCTTTGTTCCCTCTCTCCAAACAGGGGAACTACTGCTGTGGATGGAGCTGGTTTTGGCATTGATCGTCCCGCCGAGCTGACCAAGGAGGATGACGAGTATGAGGCATTCCGTAAACGAATGATGCTCGCCTACCGCTTCCGACCAAATCCATTGGTAAGATGGTCCCGAAACCAGAGCAGACACAGTGACAAATCCGTTGAGGCTTCTGTGCGTATCTTGTAAGGGTGGGAGTGCTTCTAGGGCTTAGCCAAGAGAGCAAATGCTGTCAAAGTTTCTCTTTGATTCTGTTCTCATGTTGAATGAAATTATCGCTACCATCCATGGATGCGCGGTTTCCCTTGCTATGATTTTTTTTTTTTTTAATACAAAACCCCCTGTTTTTAATTTTATCTGGTCCATACAAAGTATAAACTCTGCGCACAAAGGAAGCGGATGGGTTATCTGTGAATCCATGGTTTATTTTGAGTAACTGTTTTCCTGCTTGCAAAAGGCTTGTAAGTTTGCATTTGCCTCTGTTATGTTCAGCATGCTGGCACACCTAGAAAGCTACATTTGTAATTTTTGATGGGAAACCTCATGTTTCACTGTCAGAAATGTCACATTGTAGTGGCTTTTTCAGATAATTAAGCTCAGGTGCTTGTTGTTCTGTGAAGACAGCAATTTTGATTAATTTTCTCTTTTTATTCCCCACAGAACAATCCACGACGACCTTACTACTGAGAATGTTTTTGGGACAATGTATTTTCAAAACAATTGTAATTTTACTGTGAAATGTTATGAAACTGCATTATCATTCTCTTATTTGCTAATATTGTAAAACTTATTGAAGTCACAATACCATCTCTCACCCAGAAGAAAGGCCTGCAAGCCCACTCACTGCACACTCGAGTGTCATGACAACCGTGTCGTAACAAGGCCTGGGTGGTATTCAGAGAGGAGAACAGAGCAGGTGAGAACGGAGATCTTCACACGGTGCCCTGCTGACAGTGGAAGGGTAGCACCAAAGATACCAATAGGAATAGTTCAGGGACTCCATTCCTGTTTAGCTCAGTGCCATGTTACAAGGAATGCATTTTTTGCCTAACGGCAGATCCTCTGTTGTTCAGTGCTGCTCTGGGGGTTTTTGTTCATTTTGTTTGTTTTTTTAATTGCAAATACAACAAGGGACTGTCTCCAACCCAGGTTTTGGGGCTGTTGTTCAGTCAGGCTATTGTTCCCTGAAGAACTGGGTTCTGATGCTGTCGTGAAGCCCAAAGTATAGTCTGACATTGCAAAACCAGTGCCTAGTTGTTTGACCTCTGCCCTGTGGAAGACAAGGTGTGGATCGGTGTGGAGCATGGCTGCAAGGGTTGAGGGGCGAGTTCATTCAGCTTCAGAGGTGACAGCCTCTTGGTTTCTTGAACACTAAGTTCACCCCCAGCTTCCTAGCAAAACAAGAGACTTGCTAACACTTTCTGTGCTTGGGGTGATGAAGAACCAAGCCTTCAAACACAGTTTGTCAAAGGCCATTTGGATTTTGTTGTCATAAGAAACCCTTCTACAAATACAAATTTTCTTCATTCAGTCTGTAAATAAAAAAACCTCATTTGTTCCTTAGTTTTAATCACTGAATTTTTGGAAAGAGGGGTCTTACTGTGGGTTTTCATAGGCTGAGAGACTGCTCTAGATCTCTTTCCTTCCAAGCATCTTAGAGATGGTTTCTTTTGCATTTGTTTTCCCTCAATCCAAATACTTGGCATGTGATTCTCTTTTGTTAACTTTTCTTAACGTAGAGTCAGGGACTTGGCTTTCAATAAAAACATTTGAAACAGTAAATTCGGTAGGGGTTCATTCTGAGAAAAATCAAAATGTGTGAGCACCTTGCAGAAGCACGGAGCTGGGCTTGTTCCCGGGGAGCGCGTGGTGTGCCAGCACCTTGCGTACGCTCGCTGCAGCTTGTACACGGGGATGTTGCACTTGGGATGGCTCATCAGTGTGGGCAGTAATCATGGAAGATTGGGAAATAAAGATAAGAAATCTGGCAGGTCTTCAGTAAGGCCAAGCTTCTGCTCAAATGATTAAGGTCACTGTGACAACGGCGCTTTCCTGGTGAGTCAGGACGCCCATCCCCGCGGTTTCTCCCTGCCGTGGCAGTGCTGCTGGGTCTTGGCTCCTGGCTGCCACAAGCCAGAGCTGCTGAGCTGGTTGTCCTGAATTACCAGAGACTGGGGCTGAAACTGGGCTGCCCGTTTCACTGCTGGGTTTTCTGTAGAAGTAGGGGCTTGCTGGGAAAGCGGAGGCATTTTCAGTCTCTTTTTATTCCAAGCGTATGTAGTACGGCATCCTTTTGGCGCTGACGGTGACGTGGTCGCAGGGTGAGTGGGCAGCCTGGCTGCTATTGCTGGTCGGGTCTTTAAAGCTAATCTGATACTACAGCGATCCCCGTGTACTTCGTTGATGTTGTGTTGGCAAAAGTTGTTTTAGTCCTTTATTTCAACACAGCGGCCTTGGTCTTCTTGAGCCCCTTCTCTTGATAACTGTTCATCAATAGGTGCTTTTCTCTTCATTTTCTTATGGCATTGTAAGTCACACACTATTCCATGTGCCCTGCCGCTGGGAGTAGCAGGCAGGGGTCAGTTCTGCAGAAACCCGGCGAGGCGCTTAGTGCAGTCGTCCTCCTCGCCGTCATTAGCTACAAAGCGGGGATTTAGTCTTCAGAAACCGAATCAAACAGGCGGCTGCTGCGGCACGCCCAGAAGGTCGCCAAAGTTGGACTCTTTTAGATCAAAGAGTAAATTCCCGGTGCCTGCTGTACAAACGCCGTGCCAGCTGCCTGGCCGGCATGAACACACGTGTGACCGAGCACCAGCGCCCGTGGTGAGCGCGGCACGGGGGGACACCGTGAAATCACCTGGCCGGGGAGAGGCAAAGGGGCTGGGGCTTGTTTGCCCCAAGCGGCTCTTGCAAGAGCTGGGAGGCTGAAGCAACGCTTGTAGAGGGTTCGGTGTTGGGGAAGAGCTGGAGGTTATTTCTTCAAGTCACCCCACGTTACCTG